ATATCCGAAAATATTATTTAAAATTAGAAAATTAGCCCAAACATTAGAATATCAACATTTTTTGCAACATTGCACATCTTGTTCAATTTGTGTAAAATTATTTTATTGATTTAATTAATTTGTTTTTAGATCTATATCTAGCTAAATTTTTAAATAGTTCAGCAAAATTCTTCTTTCTATGTACTCTAGAAACTCATTTTATATAATACACTTTCGAAATCAGACTGTCATAATGTTATTTTATGTCAAACTTTTAGACAAAAAATATGAAATGTACTTTATGTCAAATATATAAGCTACTAACCTGTATTCGCATTTTCATCGATTGCGACTGAGAATGTCTGAGAATGCCTGTATATTGCTATATTTTCGCCGCCTTTGCTAATGTGTTGAGAGAGATGCTATGCACAGCCAAGGAAGACCAAGAAACGCAAGACATTCCTATGCGAATGAATTAAAATTCGAAACACTGTAGTATATTTAATACTCTATAGTAGTTTGCATATTATTAGCAATTTATGAAGATCATTACAAATCAGAAACTGAGGACAATCCGCTGACCATTGAGTATACAGGGGTAGAGACTGATATACTTCTGAGTTTCGGTTCTCCATGTGCTAGTAGGTCCACACACATCAGCAATAACTTCTTCCCATGTTATACTCTGATCCTTTACGGAAAAAACTGTTAGTACATAGTAGTACTACTAACATTAGTATTACTAACATTAGTGTCACTATTAACATTAGTATTACTACTGATACGCTATACTGTCACTGCGGAGCCAGTAGTGTTACTATTGCAATGTATGACGACATATGATGTAACATAGAACTATTTTCAGTAATATTTTCAGTAATATTTGGTACAAACTTTATTAAAGTAAAAAATACATATATATATCGTGAGAGCAATTAATATTATTTTTAACTTCTTTTTAATAATATTGTAAAATATTATTTCATCTTATAGAAATAATATTTTACAGTATTATTAAAACAACAATAGTATTATTAAAACAAATTGTTATTGCAGATATATCTTCATTAATTGTACATTACAATGATTATTTAACATTAATTATTTTTTTCTGTACGTATTCCGTCTCTTTCAGAACATCTTTGACGAAATATGTTGCAACTATATTTAGCATTATAGGTTTCTTTGAAGGAGGAGTTTCCATATATTACAGAAGTTAGGCATGCTAAGTAAAGATGTGTACTTGGATGGGTGACCGCATGGGAATACCATAAAATTAGTTTTCGAATTCATAAAGGAAATTTTTTTTTTATTATAATTTTGTCGTGTATTCTATGAAATAATGCTAATCAATAATACTTATTTTTGCAATAAAACTTCAGTGAAATTTCAATGAAATTTCAACAAAATTTTTTTCCATCACTGTTACACTATTAGTGACACTAACAGTGTAATAGTGGTCGAATTTACTATTGCACTATTGCACTAGTAATACTAGTGATACTAGTTTTTTTCTGTAAGGGCAGCAAGAGACCTAAATAATTTAGATCGAATTTAGGCTATAGGCCGCGGGCTAAATTCACGGTGTAAGGCTAGACACTTAGTGAAACAAATGCTATTAGAACTGAAATCGGAAATCTTGTCGCATTCTCTCCCCCAGAAAGGAGATGGGGTAAGAATCGTTTCGTGGAAAGTTTCGTGCGTCTCTGAAGCAGGGGAAGAGATGGAGTGAAAGTTGCTTTGCATGGAAAGTCATAAAATATATTTTAAAGAAAATTTCTTACACAAATAGAAAGATTTATTATACACAAATTAGACCTTTAAGTGTAAAGATCTCAGAAACTATAAGAGACCATCTAGTTGTTAAAGTAAAATTACTCATTCTGACCTTCATGTATCAAGGTTAAGGCTATCAGCCTTGTGGTGTTCCTTAAAATGCATAATTACCAATGAGATTTTAAGACGATGAGATTTTAAATTTTAAGCTTTAAACCCTAAGCCATAAGAAATTGATCGATCACAATTGAATGTGAGAAGAATATAATTGGTCAATTCCTTATAACTTACCGCTTAAGATTTAAAACTTAAGTTTTACGCCTTAAAATCCTACTGTAGACGCCGCCGCTTTATAACTCGAAATGTACTCTATGAATATAAATATTTTATTATAATGTTTTGAAAGCTCTCGAGGCAAGTTAGAGAATGTATGATTTTATTTTATATTATGTCTGAAGCTACCGCGATGTTAACAGTCAAAAATTGTGAGAAGGAATTATACTGCGGTTTTTCATATTTTTCAAAGAATATATTTCATATTTATATATCACAAAGAAAACCAATTTTTCATGAAACTTATCTCTATTTTTAAAATGGAATTATATGATTTTTTCCGAGATGAATTATATATTTCATTTATTTCATGTTTCTTTCTTCATAATCAAATTTTCCAATTAATCTTGTAGAAAACCAAAACATTTTTCAAATGACAAGTCAAGATCAAAGTAACGATCATGTAATTTTATCTCTAGAACGAAAACGTGAAAAATTAATTTTTTTTTGTGTGTATATGTACATGTAAAAATTCATTTTTAAAAATCATTTTTAACGATTCTGTTCTAAAGAAAAAGTTATATGATCCAAATCTGTCGACCTAAATATATTTATTATTAAATATATTTATCTAAATAATAAAGATTGATTGAGAAGTTTGAAGATTACGAAAAAAAGAGTATGAAATAAATGGAATATATAATTGATCTCGAAAATCCACATTTCAAATATTAAATATAATGTACTTGCAATAATTTGCTGTTTAAATTTCCGTTATCATACCACGTCACAATCAATACAGTCGGAGTCAAGCTCCAGGTTTTCATTTCTTCGTTAATTTGCATAAGACAATTCACATGAGCAGTGGCCAAATGGCCATTTGACGGGCTGATAATTTATCGTTATTCATACTCGAACGCATGATTTAGACTGGTATTATCTTGCTCTACATCTACAAAAAAATTCGTGTGCAATTAATGTATTATGCAAGTGAAATAATAAAGAAGCCGTTGAATAATTCATTGAAAAGAAATAATATAATATGAATATATAATACGAACTATTTGTAAATTCCTCATTGTTTTTCAAAATCTACTTTATTTCTGCCTTTATATCTGATTATAAGTCCAGTTAATTTTTGCTCTTTACCACATCCATTAACATTTACAAAAATTACTTTATAATTTTATTATCTCTTTTTCCAGTGAGTTAAAAGTGATTAGAACAGCTAGAAACTGTTGACTGAGGGCCGTACCGCGCATCGAAGAATATATTGTACGCTAAATGCAAGCATATGTTCAAAGGACATAACTAAAAATCGATGGTAATTGTGGTATCAGAGCATATAATACATCACTATGTGTCAAAATAAAAAGAAAATATATTATAAATAAACTAAAATTGAAGAAGAATTATTTTTATATGTATAAAATTTTATACGCATAAAAAACTGAAAATACACAAAATTTTGATAAAAATATAATTACAATATAACAAAATATTAAAATTAATAATCATTATATCATATTATATACATATTAAAAATACATATTATAAATTCGTGAAACGATTTATATTATTTATTTATATAAGAATAAAATTGTTGATATTTTCCGATCCATTATGTCCAAAAAAAATAAAGAAAAATTAGAAGAACTTACTTGTTATACTCATGATCATAGAAAGGATCCTGCGAGCGTATAGGAATGCATCACTCTCGGCGGTTCAGTACATACTCTCTTGCCTCCGCATCGTTGGGAAAGCAACTCCCCTCCGCGAGACAATCCTTCTGGAAATGGAACTGCCCTGAAAATAACATCAATACAGTTCACATCGCGCTAAAGCGCAGCATCGAATCGATCGCCGGGACATCACAGCGTTCATGCAAGCATCGCGACTATTGCGAATAAATATCATTCGTCTCATCTCCGTCAGTTGTCTGGATGAGTGAATCTTGCGTTCAGAGAAGTGTCTAAAGAATCTCTAATTATGCTCACATTTTTGTGACAATAAAATATGAATGTTCGAAGAAAGAAGATCATACAATGTATTGTATGTACCAAAACGGAATTATATACTGATATTTGTTGCCTGAGCTAGTAAATTAAAAAGTTTAAACAACAGTTTTATATATGTATTTTCTTTGTTTTGTGAAGAGAATTCAAAGAAAGTTTTTAGGTAACTTCGTATTTTTCCAAGTAAATGTTGTGAATTGTTTTTTATAAAAAGTATTAATTGTTATTAAAACTATAAAATCATCTTACATTATAAAATTTTTTTTCATAGTTTCTGCGTCCGTGGCGAGAATATAAAATTAGTTTGAATAATATCATTAATATCAATGCATATATGCAATGATTATCTTTTTACAAAATAGTATAAATAAATTACTCTTTGAAATTATATGTTTTTAGTGTAAGTTATTTGAAGTTATTTAGCGACGAGAAAATCATATTGAAAAATGAATCTTATTGAAGATATTGTAATTCAACCTGTATGTCACAGTATCGGGTACATAAACTTCGAATTTACTGTTTAATGATGACATATAATCAAGATGCACTTCTGATTGATTATCTGGAGCTATTATGCGTATACCTTTATCTTTATATCCCTACTGCATATTGATCAATTGTCAGAAGCTGTCATGCGCATGAGCATACTCCTATCTTTTATGGTACCGTATTGATCAATCAGTTTAAGCATTTTGTACTAAAACAGAGAAGCCTGAGAGCGGCCATGCCCAAGATTTAATTCGAAATTTCAGTTTCAATTTCGGATTCAGTTTTGGTAAAAAATCAGAGTTTCGGTTTGATTTTGGTTTCATTAGAAATTAAGAGAAAATTTCGGTGAGTAAATCGAAATTATATTATACAAAGAGCAACATCGATGAGCGTTTAAAAAACAACTATTCGATTTTAATTAATAACTCATTAATTGAGAAGAATTATAAGAGTACAAATTTTGATATGATTCTAATAATAACTGATTTGATTTCTTTAAAAGTTGACGATAATATTATATTATTATAGTTAGAAATAAAAATCTTGTTTTTTTATGGACTCTATTGTAATTGATCAATTCACTTATTGCTTATGTTTTACTGCTTAAGTTTTTTTGTATACCATGCTTAGAACATATATAAATGGAAGAGGAATAGAGCGCTGAGTTTGATGCAAAAATCTGTGCAAGAGAGAAATGTAGTAACGGATAAATGTTGGTAAAGCGCATGCATCTGTTCCTCGTTCCTACTGTCGCTTCGTGGTTGAATTCCTACTTCCCGACCTTACCTTGCGGTACTTGAACAAGGAACACGGGAACCAACTGGCGCATTGAAAACATTTATCCCTTACTACCTTTCTCTCTCGCACAGATTTTTGCATCAGCGCGAGCCATAGGCACGTATAGGCAACGCCCCTTTCATTTATATATGTTCGAAGATGACATGGCCTTTATATTTAAGACGCATTGATGCATCATTTATCCTTGTTTAACATTCGATGAATAACAAGGATAAATAATGCAGCATGCGCATCATGCGTGAAACGGAACGCAGCATCAGGCTTTCTCGGACGCTAACAATAACTTCTGGCGGAGGCACAATATAGCGGAAAATTTAAATTGAAATTGTTCGGA